GATCTTGAAGGTCATTATCTGTACAGACGGAAAAGCCAACGCAAAACTAGGAAATCTAGAAGAAGAGGACAATGATGCTCGAACCCTCCTCTCATCCACCATCTTCTATAAGGACCTTGGAGAGTATGCCGCTAACCAGGGGTTAGTGCACATAGCCTGGTCATTCACAGAAATCCTGATGTCAGACAAGAAACACTGTTAACATCTGTTAGCAACCCTGTTGGAAATACTTTATTTCAACTTTGTTTTTCCAAAACCTTTTCTGCAACATTTTGTTTGAATTGTCCTGTCTGGATGGTCAGACAGATAACCTCACAGGTCTCTGATTGGACCTGGTTCTGGGGACACAGGTGGCTCAGGTAGAAGGTTGATTTTGTGTCGGCTGAACCATCTGTGTATTAATTTTAGTGATGATTGTGGAACCGATTGCTGCTAAGAAACTAAATTGGATCAGCATTTTAGATGCCTTTTCAAAAACTCCAATTTCCAAACATTTAGAAAAGATTTTCAGATTTTTTTCTAATAAGGGAAATGTGTATTGTTGCCACCTTCTCTGTTCTTCCCAAACAATATATGCAAAATGTTAACATTTTTTAAGCTTTCGTCCAACAAATAACTTGATCTCAGATTAATCTGACCATAATGGTTTTAATTAGAGAACAAGTAGCCTCTAGAAAATGTCCCATCTTTATGTTTAAAATAACAGTTATTACAAAATGTAAACATAGATTAATGAAATAGTTTAATTTACAAAATCTACAAATGTCAGCATTCATGTCTGCATAAAAAAAGACTATTTACAAAATAGGGAAAAATAAGTCTTCAAAGAAAACAGAGCTATAAACCCTTTTATTAATGGGTTTTGGGAGCACTGATGTTTATAAACTCCTACAGCTGCTGGAAAGTGGGATCTCTGATGGTATTCTATCGTGCACCTAGAACGGAGCAGCCTTTCCTGAAGGAGCCCACCAGATCTGCTCAATGCATGGGATGGAAAACATTTTCCAAATTATGCTGTTTATGTTGTCCTTCTCTTTCACACGTCCTGCACTGTGTCCTAGGGCCATCCTAAGAAAGACCTAACCTTTCTGACTAGTTTATCAAGCCTCTCAGTTCTAAGTAGGGTCACGTTTTAACAAACTACATCATAGAAGATGGCGGATGCCACCTCCATAGCACTGACACCTTCATCTGTGTTGTTCTTTGGGTTATCCACATGATGGTAAAGAAATATCCTTGTTCCTTCAGAGTGACCGTGTCCGTGCTGTCTATTGAAGGAACTGACTGCCGGCTGGAGGAACTGGGAAGACTGGCAGATCGCACTGGAGGGAAAGTAAGAAGCTGGGTTGGTTTTGAATCTCTGAAACATGGGCATCAACTTATTTCCCTTCTATTTATTTGTCCTGCATCCAGGTAGTAATAGCGAATCCCAACCAGCTGCATGCAGAGTTTGAAGAGATAATTCAAAACAGGACCATAGCTACACACTGTGCAGTAACCATACTGGTGCCCAAATCTCTGTAAGTAAGAGCTGCAATAAACACAGTGCTACTACATGATTCATTGGTTCTTGTCATCAGAAAATATTTTAATACCTTCAAATTGCAGTAATAATAAAGCCCACGGTACTGACTCATGTTCTGTTTGCTGCAGGCGGATAAAAGGAGAGAGGGAGGCGGGACACAAAGGGACCAGAGAGGTGGGGAATGTGAGCATCGATACTGAGATCACCGTCCAGTTTGGAGCAAGTGAAGACACAGAAGGTGGAAAAAAATAATAATAAAACAGAATTAGCTTGATTTCATTCGCTTTCAAACAAATCTAAAGGTTGATTGCACAAAGTGCGAAGTATGAGCTGCCAGAAGACCTCATGATGTGGAAAATTTCTTTTGTTGCCAGAAAATTACACTTCAGTTCTCACATTGAAATCACAGTGGCAGCAGCACTTTGAGGTGAGAGGCAGGGTGTATTCATGTAAAAGGAAGAGAAATAAGAAAATGGACCCTGTAATCAATGCCACTTGGCTACACAGGGGGGTGTTTTACTTTGTCCAAGATTGTTTCTAAATCTGTCTGGCTGCCACCTGAAAACAAGGTCATAGCTGAATGAAACTGCCAAGAAACAATCTACTGTCATATGAATTAACTGCAATGAACCACAGTTTTTGGAAAGGCTGGTTCCCTTTCCCTGGCCTCAATTTAATGCCACAGCAGCAGAAAGAAGAAATCACTAAAAATGCAGCTTTCTGATAAGGCAGGCTCAACGATGTCAAAAAAGGGGGAATATCTAGGGCTCAAGTGAACCACAGTAAAACAACCACCCATCCATTTTCCATCATGCTGCTGCTGCTGCTGGGGTCATGAGGGGTGTTGGTGCCTATTTCCAGCTGTCAATAAGTGAGAGGCGGGGTACACCCTGGACAGGTCGCCAGTCCAGGCAACACAGAGACAAACAACCATTCACACACAAACTCTCACACCTAAGGAGAATTTAGAGAAGCCAATTAACCTAACAGTCATGTTTTTGGACTGTGGGAGGAAGCCGGAGTACCCAGGCAGAACCCATGCATGCATGCATGGGGAGAACATGCAAACTCCATGCAGAAAGACCACAGGCCAGCTATTGAACCCAGGCTGGGAATTGAACCTGGAAACTTCTTGCTGCTAGGCAGCAGTGCTACCCACCGCTACAGTGTGCAGTCCCACAGAGAAAAATTCGGACAATAATTTGGAGATTTTGGGCCGGATTTATCAAGATCCAATTTTGCGTGCAGTAATTTGCGCTCGCAAACTGGAATTTTGCGCGAGGGGCTATA